CAGGGACAAGGGCCAGAAGGCAGAAGGGGACAGGAAAGCTGGTGATAGGGAACCCAAGGTTGAGTAAGGACAGTGTTGATGTGTTGTGAGGTTGTGTTAACCATTGTCATAGGGCAACATGTGTACTAACTGTTAAATGAGAAACTATTTTGTTCTGTAAGCCTTCATCTAAAGTGAGAATAGCAGCACAATTGGAAGAGCATAGCCGATGTCACTGAACTGTGCATGTAGAAGTTTTTGAAATGGTGTATCTTTGGCTATGTATGTTTTCACCAAAAAAAAAAAAAAGTCGAGAAGTGATAGGGTTGACAAGTTGTGGGATTGTTAACCAATGTCATAGAACCATATGTATACTACTGTTTCATGAGAAACTATTTGTTCTGTAAGCCTTCACCTGAAGTACAATTAAAAAAAAAAAAAAAAACTACAATGAGATATTATCTCACCCCAGCAAGGCTAACATTAATCCAAAAATCACAAAATGATAAATGCTGTAGAAGTTGTGGAGAGACTGGAACACTTATACACTGTTGCTGGGAATGTAAAATGGTACAACCACTTTGGAAATCAATTTGGCACTTCCTTTAAAAACTAGAAATGGAAGTACCATAGGATCCAGCTGTCCCACTCCTTGGAATATATCCTAGAGAAATAAGGGCTGTCACGAATAGATACATGCACACCCATGTTCATTGCAGCACTGTTCACAGTAGCAAAAAGATAGAAACAATCTAGGTGCCCATCAACGGACGAATGGATAAACAAATTGCAGTATAGCCACACACTGGAATACTATGCAACGATAAAGAACAATGATGAAGCCGTGAAACATAACATGGAGGAATCTGGAAGTCATTAGGCTGAGTGAGTTTAGTCAGTCACAAAGGACAAATATTGTATAAGACCTCTATTATAAGAACTCAAGAAAAGGTTTAAACACAGAAGAGAATATTCTTTGATGGTTATGAGGGTAGGGAGTGGGGTGCGAGCGTGAGGGTAATTTAGTAACTAGATAGTAGACAAGAATTATCTTAGGTGAAGGGAAGGACAGCACACACTACAGGGGAAGTCAGCACAACTGGACTAAACCAAAGCTGAGAAGTTTCCTGAATACAACCAAACATGTCAAGGGACAGAGTAGCAGGGGTGGGGGTCTGGGGACCATGCTTTCAGGGGACCTCTAGGTCAACTGGCATAACAAAGCTTACTAAGAAAATGTTCTGCCTCCTGCTTTGGTGAGTGGCGTCTGGAGCCTTAAAAGCTTGCAAGCTGCCATCTAAGATGCATCAATTGTTCCCAGTCACCTGGAGTACAGGAGAATGAATACCAAAGACACAAGGAAAGTGTTAGCCCAAGAGACAAAAGGGCCACGTAAACCAGAGACTTCATCAGCCTGAGACCAGGAGAACTAGATGGTGCCTGGCTACCACCAATGACTGCCCTGACAGGGAACACAGCAGAGAGTCCCGGATGGAGCAGGAGAAAGGTGGGGAGCAGAACTCAAATTGTAGTAAGAAGACCAGACTTAATGGTCTGACTGAGACTGGAGGAAGCCCGGGAAGCATGGCCCCTGGATTCTCTATCAGCCCAGAACTAAAACAATTTCTGAGGCCAACTCTTCAGACAGGGATTAGACTGGACTGTGGAACATAAAGTGATACTCGTGAGGAGTGTGCCACTCAGCTCAAGTAGATTAAAAGAGACTAAATGAGCAGCTTCTGTCTGGAGGTGAGATGGAAAGGCAGAGACAGGAGCTGGCTGAATGGACATGGGGAATCGGACTGAAAGGAGGAGTGTGCTGTCACACTATGGGGAGAGCAATTAGGGTCACATAACAATGTATGTATAAATTTTTGTATAGGAGATTAACTTGAAATGTAAACTTCATTTAAACTACAACAATAAAAAAAAAAGATGAAAAGCTGACTTCAGCTTCCAGACCCAAAATCTGGGTTCAAGCCCACCCCTATCCAAATGCAGATTTCAGTCTGGAGAAGGAGCTTTGAGGTGCCTCCTCCAGCTCTGAGGCAAAGCCACTTGTGTTCTGGATGAACCGTTTAGTCTCTGGCCTGGGACAAGTCTCTATGCCCTGAATGACACTGCTTCTTACCTGATCCTTGACAGAGAAGCCTGAAGTCGCAGGTGAAGGCTGTACTTATGGCTAGTGTGCCCAGTTACTGGATCTGTGAGGCACGTTGAAGCAAACAGTTACAAAAGAAATGCGGAAATCCTGTATTCCTTCCAAGGCAGGCCCACTAATTACGGAGATCTGGAGTGCTAAGCCTCACACAAGGTCAGATGAGCATTTATTACACGCACACCTCCTCTGACAGGCCGTTCACTGGTAGTAGGTATGTTTTGAATTGGATCTCAGGAGAAAGTGGCCCCAGGAGCCCACATACAGAGAATTCAAGGTGTTGGGAGATGAAGGCACTCCTGAACAGGGCCAGGAAAGGTTATGGAAAAGGTGGGGTAGTCAAGTAGTTTGAAGTTTAGAGGAAGGACATTTTAAACAGACTGCTGCTTTCAAGACAAGAGCAGAGCTGATTGGATGGAGAGGTGCTGAAGCTGCTACGCTGAAGAAGAGCCGGAGAGGCAGCACGCCAGGCTGTCAGGGTCCTCAGCAGGAGACCTGGTTCTTTTAAATCATACATAAGAAACAGCTTTGAAAACTGTAACGTGTTATTAAAATGTTAGCTGTGGTTATCCCCAAGGACCTCGTCACAAGTTCAACACACCCATAGGGAGAGCAGAGTCTGTGTCTTTGCCAACCTGAGCATATTTGTGCAAATTTGGAAAAGACACCCCTCCCTCAGGACACTTCCATCTGTTGGGAAATTGTCTAGTGAGACTGATTTTATTAGAACAAGACATTTTATTGCCATCTGCCAAAAATTACGAGAGTAAATACACAGATCTATGGTGTCTAAGCTGTGAATGATGTCCCTTCTGAGGTAGTGCCACTGTGCCCTGCACTGCTGCACAGCCCTCCAGAGTGGTCTGTTGTAGGCTGGATGCCAGGAACTGACTGCCTGGGTCAGGTGCCATGCCTTTATTTCCCATGACTTTTCCTCACCATGCATACTGGGCACCCACCATGAGAAAGGAGCGCAGACCTTTTGGTCTGTTGTCAACCGACTGCCTCTCTCTAGCAACGCTGTGCTCTGCTGGAAGTTTTGCCATGTGTTCCACAAACTCCTCCGAGATGGACACCCAAATGTGAGTTCCTGGGACTGCAGTGGGATGGCCAGGGAGCCGTGTGTCGGCTACAAAGGGCTGCTCTTCCCTCCCAATGGATGGGTGACAACTGCCCCTTTCTCCTGACCTTTTTGGTTGCCAGTTAGAGTTGGATGCATTTCTCCATTCACCGTCTGCTCCCTACCCAGCCCCGTGCTTTACCATTCTCTGTCTTCCCCCTTCTGTTCTCTCATAGACTGTTCTCTTCCCTCTCCAGGTCCTGAAGGACTCTCTGAGATACAAAAATGAGTTGAGTGACATGAGCAGGATGTGGGTGAGTTTGGAGATGCTATCAGGAACCACCTCTTCCTCCTATTCTTCTCCAGTGGCCACATAACCAGGACTATGGAATGGAACAAATTCACCTCTCAACGTATTTAGGGTTTCTCCCATGAGAATCATAGAAGAGCCAAGGATACACAAAAGCAGTCCTGTGATATCCACGGTCTTCCTGGGGCCCTAGAAGCTACAGAGAGGGTCTAGAGCCTGAGATCTCCTGTCTGTGGAACCTCATGTCACAGCTCTATAGGCTTTGGGATCCCCTCAGCAGTGACATTGCCTCAGTTGCTACTTCTTTCCCTTCCACTGTCCCACTGGGGTCACAGTGTGTTGAGAATTAACATATCCAATTCTTAATGCACTTAATGGGATGAAAGAGGAGGTATGTGCAGTATCAAAGTCACTTTTTTACACACACACCAAAATCCCTCTTAGATTTTGATATCCCAGAGGTGTGTGTGTGGCAGGTGTAAGAGTAGGGTGGGGTAATCTGCATTTTAAGAATCTCTCTGGTTGATTCTGATATCCCATTTGGCCCCACTGGTTGAGAACTACTACTTTAGCCCATTTCCCCCAATTATTAACTATATCTGCCTGTACTCACAAAATGTGAGTTATTATGTAGTCTAGTCCACCATTATAGGTGAGGAAAATACAGGCCCAGAGAGAGAAACATGTTGCCCAAAGGCACAAGGCTAGTTACCTGCACAAAGCTGAGGGTTGTCCTCAAATCTTCCAACTGTGTGTTAGTAATCTTTTTTTTTTTTTATAATATTGTATTGAGTTTTTGGTAAAAGTTTATACAGCACGTTAGGTTCCCATTTGACAATTTCCACACAAGTTGCTCAGTGACATTAGTTACATTTATCACAATATGTCAACATTGTCTTTATTTGTGTTCAGTTTGTTCCCTTTCCAGTACTGTAGTTTCCCTGTCTCCTAGTCTTCTCACCTTTTTTTTTTTTTTCCTTAATTTCTCATTCAAAAATTTATACACAAATATTTTGTGACATTGTTGCAATTCCCACAACGTGACAGCGCACTCCCCCTTTCCACCCCGGGTTCCATTTGTCCAGTTCCTGTCCCTTCCTGCTTTTTATCCTGCTTTTGGATAGGAGTTGCCCATTTGATCTCGTATATTTGATTGATCTAAGAAGCACATTCCTCACGTGTGTTATTTTTTGTTTTATAGGTCTGTCTAATCTTTGTCGGAAAAGTGGGCTTCAGGATTGGTTTTAGTTATGGGTTAGCAGAGTGTCCAGGGGCCATAGTTTCAGGGTGTATTTCTAGAACATGTAAAATTCAGGACTTTTTTCCCCCCTTTTTGTATGAATTGCCCTGGTACATCTTTTTTTTTTATCCTTTTACTTTCAACTTTTCTATATTCTTATGTTTTAGAAATCTCACCTGTAAATAGCATTTAGATAGATCTTTTTTTTTAAACTCAAGATGATGGTTGACAGATGATGTCTTTTAGCTGGGTATTTAGTCCGTTTACATTTGTTGTAATAAATGGATGTATATCTCTCATCTTATTTTTTGCCATTTGTCCCATCTGTTCTGTTTTTCTCTCATTCCTTGCTTTCTTTTGTATTGATTGAGTATTTTTTTTCTCATTCCATTTTTTTCCTATTACTAACCAGAAGGTAACATTTTTTTTTCTTTGTAGGTTCTCTAATAATTTCAAAATTCATGCTTAACTTATCAAGGTCTAATATTTATATCTCCATCTGTTTCCTGTATGACACAGAGACCTTAGAATATTTTAACTCCATTCACTCCTTCTCAGTTTATTTGATAATATTGTCATGCCTTTTAATTTTGGTTATTTTTTCTTTTTAAACACTGTAAGATATTATTTTAATTATTTTATTCTGTACTCTTCATTTTTTCTTATATCTCAGACCTTTCATTTGGTATCACTTTCTTTCTGCCTGAATTATTTTCTTTAGAACTTCCTTTAGTGAGAGTTGGCTAGCAGCAAACACCATATTTGCTTGTCTGAGAATGTGTTTACTTCACCCTCAATCTTGGAAGATATTTTCTCTGGGTTTAGAATTCTAGAGTGACAGTTATCTTCTCTCAGCACATGGAAGGTGGTATTCAAGATATGATTCCACTGACTTCTGGCTTCCATTATTTTCATGAAGTCAGCTGTCAGACTCACCGTTGCTCCTTTGAAGCTAATGTGTGTTTTTACTCCGGCCGTTATTAAGATCTTAGTGGGTGTCTAGGTGTGAATTTATTTTGAATTCTTCGGACTTCTTAAATCTGTGGGTTAGTATTATTCATCAGTTCTGAAAAATTCTCATTGTCTCTTCAAATAATGCCTTTGCTCCATTTTGTCATCTTCTGAGACTTTGATTAGAGGTATATTAGACTTCCTCACTTTATTTCCCACTTCACTCTATTCCCCATGTCTCTGAACTGCTATTTCATTTTTTATACCTATTTGTCTCTATAATTCTGGATAATTCATAAGATAATTCATCTATATTTCATTTCACTTGTTCCCTCTTTAGCTGATTCTAATCCATAAGGATTTCAATTTTAGCTAATACAGTTTTTCATTTCTTGGAGTTCTTTTTTTTTTCCAATCTGCTCAGCATTCTTTATCATTTTTTGTGTCTTGCATATATTTTGAAACAGTCTCTTATTTCTTTAGACATATTAAACACAGTAGTCATTTTGTATATCACTTTTTATAATTCTCTTATCTAAAGTCCCTAGATCTGATTCTGCTATCTGTTGTTTTTGGTGAATTTTTGCTCATGTTATGTAGTTTCCTTTTGTACTTAGTTATTTTTTACCATGAGCTGCTCATTTTCCTTGGAATTTTATTTGTGGGAATTCTCTGAAGTCTATAATAAAGGCATGTCCCTCCAGAGAGAATTAACATTTGTTTCCACCTGTATCACTCTAAATTAAATTCTCAGCTTGAGGTTTTGTGAATTGTGGGGTAAATCCCCATGAGGACTGGCTCATAGGTCCAATTCTCAGCAGCAATTTCTTCCTCCCTCTGCTTACTGCAGTGGTTTGGGGTCGTAGATTTTCTTTGCGGTCCTCAGGGAGGGGTGTGACATGAGCAGTACCCTTATACCAAGGAGGCAGTCCTTTGGCTCTTCCACTTGATTCCTCACCTTGGGCAGGCTAGATCCGTACCTCCTGTGTACCACCTGGCCCTTGAGGCCCAGAAAACCAAAACTCAGGTTCACCTGGTAAGACAAAGTCCTGTCCTTCCCTCCCCATCCCAGTATTCCATTTACCTCTCTGATTACCTGTGTTTCCTCAATCCTGAGGATTCCTTACTTTCTTGCTAGCTTATTAATGCCTTCAAAAAGAAACTTTTAATATTTTACGTAATATTTTTAGTAGTTTACAGTGGGAAGGTACCTAGCCTTCCTTGTTGTCCAAAATGGTCTCTTTTGCTGTGTAGTTCTGTCTCATTGATTTGACTAAGTTTCTGGAAGTTAGGAGTCATCTTTTATTTTTTAATCTTTGTGCCTTTTCATATTAAGTATAATTATCTTTGATGCTGAGAATATTTTCCCTCCTTTTTCTACTTTTTAATACTTTCCAATTTTTTATAATAAGTATTACATAAAATTAATAAAATATGAATTTTTCAAAGAACATCAAAAAATTATGAAAATACTCTCATCTCTGGCTTTGGTGTTTTCACATCCTCTGATTACTCACTTCCCTTTGGTGCCTCTGAGGCATGTTTTCAGTGGGGTTCCTTGACTCTAGAAGATATAAAAGTCAAAACTCATATGGCAGCCACAGCTGCTCGGTTTAAGGGTTCTTTGTGCCCCCATTACTCTCCTTTTTTATAGATAACTGGGAGTTGCCAGCATCACTTTGCTAGTTCTAGCTTCTTCCCAGGCACCCAGGACAGGCCAACAGGGGGCCTGACTGCTTGGGCAGGCCCTGTGGGAAGCTGTATTTTCCACCAGCTAGGACTGCGCCCATTTCAAATTACTGTCACCTGTGTAATATTGTAGACCCTTTTAGTCTTTGTGAATCCACCTGGGGAGGTGTTTTCTCTCCTGTGCTTAAATAAGGAGACAGAGGCAGAAGGAAAGAAAGAGCCCCCTGGCTAGACTGTGATTGCTAAGGGTAGAAGACTTAAAATTGTTAAATAAGAAAACTTGTCCAGAATTTTTTAAAGAAATTGTCATGTTTGTATACAAGATTATACTATTAAAATGTTCGTTGAAACATCGTTTATAATAGCAAAAGTTTGCCAACAAGTAAAATGTATAATAGTAGGGAATTGGTTCAATAGATAATGGCACATAATTATCATTCACAACACAGTCACTAAAAATATTGATACAGAAAAACATTTAAGAACAGGCAACAAATTATAGTGTATTAAGTGAAAAAAACCAAGTTGATCCCATTTTATATTTAAAAATACAAGGAAGGTTACACCAAATGTTAGTCATGATTATATCTGGTGGCTAGATTAAAAGTGAAACTTTTGTGTGTGTGCTTTTCTATATTTTCCAAATTTTCAACAATGAACATTTGTTATTTTCATGATCATAAGAAATATATTCCGATCCTGGCTGTAAGTCTCTCAACCTAAAGGTTCTTAGTGTTGACGCCATACTTTCTTTCCTTTTTTAAAAGGGTCACCTGAGTGAGGGGTATGGACAACTTTGCAGCATCTACCTCAAACTACTGAGAACGAAGATGGAGTACCACACCAAAGTGAGTCTTTGTGGACAATTCTGCCACCACCCACTCCTCCCCACCCCCAACACCGTTCTCCTCAGCCCCTCAGCGCTTCTCTGGGCTTAATTATCACGTCTTTCAGATAATAAAAGACAGTGCTGATACCATATCCCAGCTGTGTGAGAAGAAAACATTTTATAGGGCAACCATAGTTAGGCCCTAGAGGTTTGACAAAGGGACTAGGATTTGGGCCCATGTCACCTGCTCCTTTTGTTTTCCTTCATTTTGCAAATAGAGGAACCATATCCACTAAATGGCCTTATGAAATTGTTTTAGAAGCACTGATTTTACTGTATACTGTTAGTAAAAACGAATTCCTTCAATTTATATAGTGAGTTTCCACCACAGAATCTTCTTTTAATCAATACATGATTTTAGTCAGTGTTTCTTACATGTTCCTGATGCATGCAAACTGTGCTTTTTGTCACAAGTGACAAATAAAAATGGTCTGCTCTTTAGGAATTTACAGATTTGTTGGGGAGAGAAGTCTTACACAATTTTAGTAACTATGTAATAGTGCAACTCAGAAGAAATAATAAGTCACGTGTGCTGTAGACAAGTGCCAGAGATGTTCTGAAATTATTGAGGGTTATGGTGTCAGAGATGCAAAATGAAGGAAGTAGGGCTTGAGGTGGATCTTGAAGGATGGGTATAGTGCAAATAGGTGGTGGGGAAGAAGAATGACATGTCTGGTGGAGGAGAAAATGGCCTGAATAGGGGAGCTGGCATTGGAAATGGAGAAAGGAATAGATTTAAGAGAAAGTAATGTAATTGAGTGTGTATTATCTCTTATGTACCTGAAGGATCTGTCTGATAAAGGTAGCTGTGGTTCACTGTTACCATCCTACTGTGTTGACTTTTTTGTTTTTTTTGAATTGAGGTAAAACTTATAAACAAATTTAACCATTTTAAAATGGACAATTCAGTAGCATTTAGTGCATTCCCAATATTGTACAACCATCACCTGTAACCTAGTTACAAAACATTTTCATCATCCCAAAAGGAAACCCCGTAGCCACTAAACAGTTACTCCCCATCCCCTCTTCCTTCCAGCCCATAAAAACCAAACCTGTTGCCATCAAGTCGATTCCAACTCATAGTGACCCTATAGGATAGAGTAAAATTGCCCCCTGGGGTTTCCAAGGAGCAACTGGTAGATAGGTGGATTCGAACTGCTGACCTTTCCTTTTTTTTTAAGTTAACAGCCAAATTCTTTACCACTGTACCACCAGGCCTCAATCCCAGCCCATGGCAACCACTAATCTACTTTCTATCTCTCTGAATTTGCCTATTCTGGATATTTCATATAAATGGAATCATACGATATGTGACCTTTTGTGCCTGAGCTCATTCACTTAGCATAATGTTTCTGTGTTCATCCAGGTTGTAGTATGTATCAGTACTTCCTTTCTTTCTATGGGTGGGTAATACACCATTGTACGATGCACCACACATTTTATTTGTCCACTCTGCAGCTGATGGCAGTAGGGTTGTCACCACCTTTTGGCTACTGTGAATAGTGCTTCTGTGAACATTTGTATACAAGTATTTGTCTGAATATCTGTTTTCAGTTCTTTTGAGTATGTACCTAGGAGTGGATTTTCTTGGTCATACGATAATTCTGTGTTTTATTTTTGAGGAACCCCCAAACTGATTTCCATAGCAGCAGCACCATTCTACATTCCCACCAGCAATGTGCAAGGGTTCCACTTTCTTGACATCCTCACCAACACTTGTTATTTTCCCTTTCTTTTTAATTAGAACATCTTAGTGAGTGTGAAGCAGTATTTCATTGTGGTTTTGATTTGCACTTTACTAATGACTAATGGGAGCCCTGGTGGCACAGTGGTTACGAGCTCGACTGCTAACCAAAAGGTCGGCAATTTGAATCCACCAGCTGCTCCTTGGAAACCCTATGCAGCAGTTCCGCTGTGAGTCGGAATCAACTCAATGGCAGTGAGGGTAGGGTAGTTAATGACTAATGATGTCAACATCTTTTCATGTATTTGTTGGCCATTTATGTATCTTCTTTGGAGAAATAATCTTTTGAAGTCCTTTGCCCATTTTAAAAACTGTGTTAGTCTTTTTGTTGTTGTTTGTAAGAGTTTCTTATGTATTCTGGGTACTAGAGTATTATCAAACATACGATTTGCAAATATTTTCTTCCATTTTGTGGCTTATCTTTTCACTTTCTTGATGTGCTCCTTTGGAGCACAAAAGTTTTTCATTTTGATGAAGTCCAATTTATCTGTTTTTTCTTTTGTTCCTTATGCTTTTGGTGTCATATTTAAGAAGCCGTGCCAAATCTAAGGTCATGAAGATTTGCTCCTGTGTTTTTTTCTAGGAGTTTTATAGTTTTAGCACTTACGTTTAGGTCTTTGATCCATTTTGAGTTAACTTCCGTACATGGTATTGGGTAGGGGATCAAATTCATTCTTTTTCATGTAGTTATCCGGTTCTCCTAGAACCATATGTTGAAGAGACTATTCTTTTTCCATTAAAAGGTCTTGGCATGCTTGTCTAAAATCAATTAACAATAGATTTATGGGTTTATTTCTGGACCGTCAGTGCTATTCTATTGATCTATATGTTCATCCTTATATCAGTACCATACTGTTTTGATTACTGTAGTTTTGTAGTATTTAAATCAGGAACTGTGAGTCTTCAAACTTTGCATCTTAACAATTCCATATGAATTTTAGGATTAACTGTTCCATTTCTGAAGAAAAAGTCATTGGGATTTTGATAGAGATTGCATTGAATCAGTAAATCAATTAGCGGAGTATTGCCATCGTAGCAATATTAAGTCTTCCAATCCATGAACACAGCATGTCTTTCCATTTATTTGAGTCTTCTTTAAATTTTTTCAGCAATATCTATTACTGGTAAAATTTATTCCTAAGCATTTTATTGTTTTTGATGCTATTGTAAATGGTACCGTTTTCTTCATTTTATTTTTGAATTGTTCATTGATAATGCATGGAAATACAACTGAATTTTGTATTTTGATTTGTATCCTGCTACTTTGCTGAATTTGTTTATTAGCTCTAATAGTTTATTTGTAGCTTCTTTAGGATTTTCCATATATGAGATCATCTGTGAATAAAGATTATTTAATTCTTTTTTTTTTTTTTCCTAATTTAGGTGGCTTTTTTTCCTTGCCTAATTGCTCTGGCTAGAACTTCTAGTACAATGTTGAATAGAAGTGGCAAGAACAGCGCTCTTGTCCTATTCCTGATCTTGCAGGGAAAGCTTTTAGTCTTTCACCACTGAATATAATGTTCGCTGTAGGTTTTTCCTAAATGCCATTTATGATGTTGAGGAAGTTCCCTTCTGTTCCTAGTTTGCTGAATGTTTTTTATCATGAAATGGTGTTGGATTTTGTCACATGCTTTTTCTGCATCATTGAGATAATCATGTAAGGTTTTGTTTTGTTTTTTTCCATTCTATTATTGTGGTGTATTACATTGATTGATTTTGTGTATGTGTGTGCGTGCTTTAGGTGAAAGTTTACAGAGCAAAGTAGTTTCTCATTAAACAATTAATACAGTATTGTTTTGTAACATCGGTTGCTAACCCCACAACATGTCAACAGTCTCCCCTTCTCAACCTCAGGTTCCCCATTTCCATTTGTCTAGCTTTCCTGTCGCCTCTTGCCTTCTCATCCTTGTCCATGGGCTGGTGTGCCCATTTAGTCTCGTATACAAGGTTGAACTACATGTGTTATTGTTTGTTTTATAGGCCTGTCTAATCTTTGGCTGAACAGTGGACCTCAGGAGTGACTCCAGTACTGAGTTAAAAGGGTATCCGGGGCCATACTCTTGGGGTTTTTCCAGTGTCAGGCCAGTAAGTCTGGTCTTCTTTTGTGAATTTGAATTTTGTTCTACGTTTTTCTCCAGCTCTGTTAGGGACCCCCTATTGTGATCCCTGTCAGAGCAGTCAGTGGTGGTAGCCAGGCACCATCTAGTTGTGCTGGACTCAGTCTGGTGGAGGCTGTGGCAATTGTGGTCCATTAGTCCTTTGGACTGATCTTTCCCTAGTATCTTTGGTTTTCTTCATTTTCCCTTGTTCCAGACAGGGTGAGACCAGTAGATATATCTTAGATGGCCATTCACAAGCTTTTAAGACCCCAGACACTAATCACCAAAGTAGGATGTAGAACATTTTCTTTATAAACTATGTTATGTCAGTTGAGCTAGATGTCCTCCAAAACCATGGTCCTCAGCCCAGTAATTTGGTCCCTCAGGAAGTTTGTCTGTGAAGCTTCTATGACTTTGCCTTGGTCAGGTTGTGCTGACTTCCCCAGTATTATGTACTGTTTTACCCTTCACCAAAGTTACTACTTATCTGTTGTCTAGTTAGTGCTTTTCCCTCCCCACCCCTCTCCTCCCTTGTAACCGTCAAAGGTTGTTTCTTTCTGTGTGTAGACCTTTCCTTGAGTTTTTATAATAGTGGTCTCATACAGTATTTGTTCTTTTGTGATTGACTTATCTCACTCAGCATAATGCCCTCCAGATTCATACACGTTGTGAGGTGTTTCACAGATTGATCATTGTTCTGTATCTTTGTGTAGTATTCCATTGTGTATATGCTCCGTAGTTTGTTTATCCATTCATCTGTTGATGGGCACTTAGGTTGTTTCCATCTTTTTTGCTGTTGTGAATAATGCTGCAGTGAACATAGGTGTGCATATCTCTATTCGTGTGATGGCTCTTATTTCTCTAGGGTAAATTCCTAGGGGTGGGATTGCTGGATCGTAGGATATTTCTATTTCTAGCTTTTTAAGGAAGTGCCATATCATTTTCCAAAATGGTTATACCATTTTGCATTCCCACCAGCAGTCCATAAGAGTTCCAGTCTCCCTGCAGCTTCTCCAACATTTGCTATTTTCTGTTTTTTTGATTTGTGCCTGTAATGTCAGAGTGAGATGGTATCTCATTGTGGTTTTGATTTGCATTTCTCTATTGGCTAGTGAT